AGCCTTATCGTGGCACCAGGTGTGGTATCAGTGTCACCCAGCCATCCCCTCCTGATGGGCAGCATCTTGGTCAGCTCCCCACACCTCCCCGACTCTGGACACCCTTAGACTCTTATCATAGAGGCCCTTTCCCTTCCTCTCCATCAGCCACAAGCGCTCACATTTCTCACTTTCTTTCCCATTTCTCTCGTCCTCTACTAGTCAGGCCTTTGTGTGGCTCAGCTGGACTGTCACCCCAGTCCCTGCAGGCGGCTCTGTGCCCTGGCCTCTCTCTTATCCTGTTTTTTTTTTTTTTAATATTTATTTATTTGGCTGCACCAGTTCTTCATTGTGGCATGTGGGATCTTCAGTCTTCATGATAGCATGTGACATGGAGTTCCCTGACCAGGGGTGGAACCTGGGCCCCCTGCAATGGGAGCTCCTAGTCTTCACCACTGGGCCACCAGGGAAGTCCCCTGATTAAATTATTAGAGAATAAACACCTAGTTGATCACCAGCCAGTTCGACAGACAGGTCACAATGCTGTCTCCCCTCCTAGGAAGAATAACTGCTGGTACTAAATCTGAGTCTCTCATCACCACAGTTCAGTTTGCCTTTCTAAAACTTTATGAAATGCAGTCCTACAGTAGGTCATCCCCCCCAGCCTGGCTCCTTCCTCATTGTTGAGTGCACAAGATTCTACCATGTGGCCTGTTGCCACAATTTAGGCCTACGCATCTTTCCTCCTGACTCCTCCCACCTAGGATATCTGTCCCCTACTGGTCTAATCATCCTCTGTATCCACTCACCAAATTATCGTCCATTCTTAGAATTCAATACAAAAGCCCCTTCCTTCTCCAAGAAACGCCCCCACATAACCCCATAAACAGCTGTCATTCCTGCCTGGAACTCCTCCGACAGTTTGACCTCCTCTTCCAGCTCTTTCACCTACATTGCCTCACACCATAGTTTCTCATGCTGCTGTTTCAACCTACTGTAGAGTATGGCCCCCAAAACCAAACAGCTGGATCATTTTACTTTCATGGGACCCATAGAATGCTTAGCATTCAGCCAGAAACATGGTAGGTGTCCAGTGAATTCAATCACCAGGTGGATCTACTAACCACACTCTGCATGCGTGAAACAACAGTATCGTGGACTCATCATTGGGCCGCAGCCTGGGAGTGCCTGGAAGCTCTCCTTATCATGTGATTGTTTTGCCTGGTGCTGTAGATAAACGAGCTTCAGGAACTCAGCGTGAGGCTGCGGTTTGTTCTGGGAGCTGCTTTGAGGACTAGATCGGCCCTTAAACTGTTTCCACTGTGTCTGCCTCTAGAGAAGTGACGTGAGAATATCATCTGGCTCTTTGAGCTTCCTTTTTATTTGGATTTGGAGTAAACAGTAGTTTCCTTTCTGGCTCTCCAGGATTAAACAAGTTGGTTTATTCCTTCAGTTTAAAGGAAAACAGCAACATCTCTGACATCGCATTTGAGACATGGAAGAGGGAGATGATCTTGGTGCAACTTTGATGACCCATGGTGGAGAAAGGAGTGGCTGGGGAGCTTTAGCAAACCCACCTGTTTGCTCTGCAAAGGGGTGTGAGGTGGACCCAGGGGAGAGGTAGACGCTGAACAGGCGCCCAAACCCCTGTTTGGTCCCATGGCAATGGCCGGGAGGACTGGGTCTCTCTCCTGAGGCTGGAGCAAAGCCCTCCAGGGGCCCCGTTGCCTAGTAGGGATGCTCTGCTTGGGTCTTAGGTCCTATTATTTGCCCTCCATGGAGTCCGGAAGCCGGAAAAACATCTTTAAGCTAGTGGGAGGAGGAGGAACAACTTACCTCCCTCAAAAAGCTGAGCAATTGGCAGCAACATAGATGAACCTAGAGATGATCATACTAAGTGAAGAGAGTCAGAGACAAATACAAATATTACAAAGAGAAATATCAGTGATACAGAGTCTAAAACTGATACAAATGAACCGATTTACAAAACAGAAATAGACTCACAGACCGACTAATGGTTGCCAAAGGGAACAGGAGGAGGGAGGCATAAGTTAGGAGTTTGGGATTAAAATATGCACACTACTATATATAAAATAATCAGCATGGACCTACCATATAGCACAGGAAACTATACTCAATATCTTTCTTTTTTCTTTTAAATATTTATTTGGCTGTGCTGGGTCTTAGTTGTGGCTGCAGGATTTTAAGCTGTGACATGAGAGCTCTTAGTTGCAACCTGTGGGATCTTGGTTCTCTGAGCAGGGATCAAACCCCATCCCCCTGCATTGGAGGTGCACAGTCTTAGCCACTGGACCACTGGGGAAGTCCCTGTAGTCAATATCTTATAATAACCTATAGTGGAAAAGAGTCTAAAATACATACATACTCAACTGAATACTCTGCTGTACATTTGAAACTAACACAACATTGTAAAACAACTGTATTTCAATAAAAAAGAATTCAAAAGCCAAGAGAAAGAAACAAAAAAACCCAGTTATTATGACCAAACTACTAACAGCAGTTACTGGTGGGAGATAGGGTTGTGGTGGGGAACGGAAGAAGGTGAGTTTCTGTATTGCATCTTTCTGAATTGCTTCAGTTACTTTATAGCAATGAAAATATTTGAACAAGGAAACCCAGGAACAGTGTACAGGTATAACATTGGTTGCCTAGCGAGCATGAGGACACCCCCAGGCTCCCCCACAGCCCTGTTCAGTGTCATATGCCCATCATAGCCAAGCACCCACTGCCTTCACCACACCAGTGGCCTACCCCCTTGCTGCATGTTCCCATCCACCCCTACCCTCTTTGCAAGAAATCCTTGACTTGCCAGGCTTGAGAAACAGTGGTCTTCTACCAAAACCCACCCACAGCATATTCTACTTCATCAGCTGAGGGACCAGCCTCAGTGGACTGTCCCATTTGATAGATGACTTCATGATAAAGAATTAGGTTGGTGCAAATGTAATTTCAATTTCAGACTGTGAATTTTAAATCAGCATAACTAGGCTCACACACATCTTTATTAATCAAAATAGGAACTATTAACAATCAACACATTTTTGCCAATGAGAAATGTTTATTCCTGTAACGTAAAAATCTGTGCTTTGGGATTCGATGAACTTTTGGAAAGTATTTTCTGCATCCTACTGGTTGGGGAAGCTTCTTTCCTGCAGAAAATTGTTGAGATGCTTGAAGAAGTGGCAGTTGGTTGGCAGGAGGTCAGGTGAATATAGTGGATGAAGCAAAACTTTGTAGCCCAATTGTTTCAACTTTTGAAGTGTTGGTTGTGTACATGCAGCCAGACATGGTCATGGAGAAGAATTGGGCCCCTTCTTTTGACCAATGCCGGCTGCAGGCATTGCAGTTTTGGTTTATCTGATTAATTTTCTCAGCATATGTCTCAAATATAATGGTTTCACTGGGGTTCAGAATGCTGTAGTGGATCAGACTGACAGAGGACCACCAAACAGTGACCTTGACCTTTTTTTGGTGCAAGTTTGGCTTTGGGAAGTGCTTTAGAGTGTCATCTTGGTCCAGCCACTGAGCTGGTAGTTGCCAGTTGTATACAATCCACTTTTCATCAGACTTCATAACCCCATCAAGAAATGTTTCATTGTTGTTGTGCAGAATAAGAGATGGATGAAACTGGAGCCCATTATACAGAGCGAAGTAAGCCTGAAAGATAAAGACCATTACAGTATACTAACACATATATATGGAATTTAGAAAGATGGTAACGATAACCCTATGTGCAAAACAGAAAAAGAGACTCCTATGTATAGAACAGACTTGTGGACTCTGGGAGAAGGCGAGGGTGGGATGTTTCAAGAGAACAGCATTGAAACACGTATATTATCTAGGGTGAAACAGTTCACCAGCCCAGGTTGGGTTCATGAGACAAGTGCTTGGGCCTGGTGCACTGGGAAGACCCAGAGGGATTGGGTGGAGAGGGAGGTGGGAGGGGGGACCGGGATGGGGAATACATGTAAAAAAAAAAAAAAAAGATACACTATGGATGTGATAAAAAAATAAATAAATTAATTAAAAAAAAAAAAAAGAGAAGATGATGCTTCAGAACTGTGATTTTTTTGATTTGTGGGCAGCTCACAAGTATCCACTTCTTGAACTTTTTCACCCTTCCAATTTGCTTCAAATTCCAAGTGACAGTAAAACGGTCAATAGTGAGTCATTTGGCAACTTCTCGTGTTGTTAAGAGGATCAGCTTCGATGATGCTCTCGGTTATTGTCAGTTTCAGATGGCCAGGCACTGTGCTCCTCCTCTTCAAGGCGCTCGTCACCTTTGCAGAACTTCTTGAACCACCACTGCACTGTATGTTCATTAGCAGTTCCTGGGCCAAATGCATTGTTGATGTTGCGAGTTGTCTCTGCTGCTCTACAACCCATTTTGACCTAAAATAAGAAGATCGTTTAAATTTGCTTCTTGTCTAATGTCATTTCCACAGTCTTAAATATAAAATAAACAGCAGGTTTATCAGGGCTTCCCTGATAGCTCAGTTGGTAAAGAATCTGCCTGCAACACAGGAGACCCTGGTTCAGTTCCTGAATCAGGAAGATCTGCTGGAGAAGGAATAGGCTACCCACTCCAGTATTCTGGCCTGGAGAATTCCATGGACTCTGTAGTCCATGGGGTCGCAAAGAGTCAGACACAACTGAGCAACTTTCACACACACAAAACATAACCACATTTATTGAGAATGTATTCTAATATCAAACAGCAAAATTCAACAATGTAAAAATCAGTTACTTTTGCACTAGCCTAATAGTAATGACTGGGTTAGTGCCCACATTTCTTGCACCATGGAACAGGTTTTAAGAGTTAATGCCTGCTCCACCATTTTTTCTAATGGTCCCACTCCTCAGAATATGTTCCAGACAGAGTGGAGTGGATACTGCTGGTTCCTCACCAGGTCCCTCCACAGTGCCAGAGCCCTGTGCTCACACCTGGAGGGGTGTCTGACCTCTGACCTCTTCCCCAGAGCTGACTTGCTGGATAAGTAATGCGCCCTCCTCCACCACCCAGGACAGCCCTGCAGCCCGTGACTAACTGGAGTTCCTTTGCCGTCACGGGGATCGGGGGATGGACTCTGATGCAGCTCATGCTCCAGAGCGCCCCACGGGATCAGGCGGAAACCAGGTCCAGCGGAGACCCTGTCTGTGCTCAGCCTCTTCCCCGCCCCATCCATGCCCCTTGCTCCTGTTCTCAGGTCTGCCGTCAGGGAATCATGGTCACCAGAATCCCACCTCAGGCTCTGCTTTGGGGAAACCTGATCTGAGACACAGGGAGAAGTTTTGTGCATGGAAAAGATTTATTACAGAGTTGTAAACATGATAGAGAAAAGCAGATGCTAATTAGAGAGATAGTCTTAAGGGGGTGGCACTGGGTTTGGAGGCTGTTTATTTTCACCAGGAGCTGTTTTGTTCTCTTGTTCATTATCATATGCTTGCATCACTGTGATTAAACTATTTTAAATTTAAAACAAAAAAATAAACATTCATCCCCACCTCCAAAGGAAGCTATGGTCCTGCATTTGACGATCGTCTGGATCTCATTTTGGAAGGTTGAGTCAGAAAATTCAAAAGTATGTTTAGTCCTTGAATGAGATCCATATGCCAGGTGAATTTCTTTCTGTAGGTAGATGAAATTTTGTATCATTTTCTACTGCAATTTGACTGTTTTATAATAGTAAATCCCAAATCAGAATAGAGTGAAAAAAAAATGGGATCCAACTGTTTGTTACTAAACTATGGGATACTGAGTGATTGTAGAACCAACCAATGAGGATGGCACCGTATGTGCTTTTTTAAATGACAAGGAGAATTTGAGAAATAGGATAGTCAGCCAAGCAGAAAGGCATTGGCCCTGTGGGGACAGATCTAAAAGGAAGGCAGCTCCTGTTTGTGGATGGAGTGAAGCGTTGTTTGGGAGGAAGGCAAAGTCCTCACTGTGCAGTGGGCAGGGACTGGGAGCTTGGGGACCCAGGCGCTGCTCTATGACCAAGTTGGCCTCTGTGCACTATGGAATAGGGATGCCGGCTATGGAGACCTGGAGAAAGGGATGTGGTCCACAGGGACCGGTTCAGAAGCCATTCAGGCAATAGCTCTTTGGTGCCTACTCCGTGCCAGGGGCTATAAGGGGCGTGGGGGACCCAGTGGAGAGAGATACAAAGAAATAAAGTGCATCAGTCAGGCATGTTTGATGACCTGCAACAGAAACAGATTTTGTCTCACAGCAGCAAAGGTGAATTTATGGAAAGGAGCATGAGCCACGGAGTCATAAGAAGATTATAGAATTATTGTGGAGATTGGAAGGAAAAAAGGGCAGCTCAAGCTGGAGGGGCTAAGAAGAAAGGAACTATAGGAAGGGTTGCAGAGCAGAAGGACGTGGTCAGTGCTGTTAGGACAAGTAAAAACCCCTGGCACGTCTTCCATCTGGTGTGTTCCAGGAGAAGGCAGGACAGTGGCCGAGCACGGGTCACACATCTGTCCCTGGCCAGGTGGGAGTGAGCAGAGGAGGGATCAGCCGCTCTCATCTGTGGGGGGTGGGGCTCCACTGGAGTTTCTCTTCTTTTTTGATGTATTTATTTATTTGACTGCACTGGGTCTTAGTTACGGCATGCGGGATCTAGTTCTTCTACCAGGATGGAAACCCGGCCCCCTGCATTGCAGGGCGGTCCAGTGTGGAGTCTTAGCCACTGAGCCAGCAGGGGAGTCCCGGAGTTTTCCTCTTCTGACAAGGCCACATACTGTGGTGGATTTCCCACAAGGGAACTTGAGGTGCTCCTCAGAGAGGAAGGTGAGGTCTCAGCTGTTATGTGAAGGGTCAGTCCAAGTCAGCCCAGGGAGTGGGCAGTGGGGAAATGCCGTGGTCAGGGGACACTGCCCAAGGCTGGGTGCTATTCAGCCCAGAGCAGTTTTGGAAATGCTAAGAACCGTAGCTCCCCATTTTCTGTGGTTCCTTATTCTTAAAGGGGTAATTTAAGCACCCCTTTAAGAGGTGCAGCCTCAGGGTAATAATGCCGTGGAATGGGGGAAATCAGCATGTCCCTGGGCTGGATGCAGGGGGTGAGGAAGGGTGCTCTGTGCTAACAGCTCTGGACAGTGAAGGATGTCTTCCTGCAGCGAGTAGGAAGGATTGTAGACCTAGAGGCAGGATGGGAGCCAGAAAGCCGCTACGTAGGTGGGAAAATGCGTAGGCAAGAAAGGCTTTACCATGAAGCCAAATGGATTCTCAAGGACAACCTCTGCGCGTACGCTGCATGGTAAACCATCTGGGTCGCCCATTGACATTTTTGCCTCAACTGAGACACCCAGATTTGGTGAGCTCACTTGTATAAAGTGGGTTTTAAGGACAGAAGGGGCTAGGTTTAAGACCTCCCTCTGCTGCTTTCTTGCTGTGTGGTCCTGCAGGCCTCCGTTCACCGCTCCAAGTTTCACTCAGGCAGATTTCTTCACCTGCCTGTGCTGGACATCCATCTGTGGCTTGAATACTCAGCATATGTTCCCCTTGGTTTAGTAAGACCTCTGATTTTTGTTTGAGGATCTGTCCTGTCTTCATGCTCCAGGAATGGGGTCCGTTTTCAGTCCCCCACCTGACAATAATGATTGGTTAAAGGACAGGCACACATCCTAAGCCAGTCGAATGCAGAAGCCGATGAAAGAGTGTTAACTCTTTTCCACTGAATGAAACCCTGAAGTTAGTCATTCTTAGCCACAACACAGAGCTCACAGATGGAGCCACAAATGGATGACAGAGCTGTGAGGCCAATAGAAGACAAACTATAATGACCCTCTTTTAGCACCTAGATCAAGCTTGACCTAAAGCTAGAGATACTCCTGGATTTTTATTACATGTAAATTGCTAGTCATGTTGCCTGTTTCATCCCACAGGAAAACAGAAACAGATCAGCTCTGCAGATGTTCTCAGGTCACTACCTTGACCCTAGGGCTGGTGATGTCTTTCAGGTGAGCTTGGTTCCTCTATAGCAATTGCCCCCTGGACACGTTCAGCCTGTCTCAGACACACCCATGCTGGCCCACCATGAGGAAACAGGCAGGCCTAGCTGGGCTGCAGGCGGCGCTGCGTGGGAGGGCGCTGGGCCATTGGGTGTGCATTGCCATCTCCATACCAGCATCCCCCCGCACTGTGACTGCTTCTCAAAGAGGCGTTTCTCCCCAGGAGGTGCTGTGGACATTTGTGGTGCCCCCTGGGAGGGAATGGGAGGTGCCAGGGTGGGAGTCTCATCGTGGAGGCGTTCGGGGGGAGGGGGGTTGTAGCTAGATCTCCTTGTGTGGGTTAGTAAGAAAGGCTGTGGACTTGAGGTGGGCTTGGGGTGCTTGAGCCCACCCCTCCCCAGAGGAGCTCATGGCCTCCACAGGATCACCGTCATCTTGGCAGTCATAGCTCTAAGCACCCGGCACTTAATTTGGTGGTGGCAGGTTCTTTAGGACTTTGGTCCACCTCAGGTTCTCAGCAGCACCCAGCCCACAGGCACTGGGGGCTGGGCAGAATACGAGTAGCTCTGTGAGCGGCCAATCAGCTTAACTTCCCACGCCTTGATTTCCCAATCTGTCAAGTATGGATAATAACAGCACTGGCTTTGTGAGTTGTGAGGATTAAATGAATTAATACCTCTGGGGCTTTAGGACAGGACCTGGCTTGTCGTGTGGGCTTGTGGGTCATGTGAGAGAAGCATTTTTAATGAGCCTGTTTTTGAACTGACTGGCAAGGCCAGGCCCTGGACCAGGTCTTCTGATTCCAGATCTGCCTGTGACTCAGCCAGGAACATGAGGGTGATATTCACACACTTGAGTGACGTTCAGGCGGGCGCATCCACACCCTCGGAACGCAGAAGCAGGTGCCCTGATGAGTCAGTGGTACATGGGGGGCATATGGTCATTAATTACACTCACAGCTAGGCTATGTCCGCATTCACACACCCACCTTGGCAACTGCAAACAGCAGTTTGGTATTCTGACTGATCTCATGCATTCTGTCATGCTCCCATTTTTTTCTTTTTTGGTCGGCTCCCTGCCTGGCATGCGAAATTTTAGTTCCCCAAGCAGGAATCGAACCGTTGCCTCCTGCAGTGGAAGCTCGGAGTCCTCACCCCTGGCCTGCCAGGGAAGTCTCATGTTATGCTCCCGTCTGATCCATCCCCAGGTGGCCACAGGGAGGGCTCCGTGAAATACGACAATGGCGTTGACTTGCTTAAAATTTCCGTGTGCTTCCCACAGCCCAGAGCAGCACTGTTCATGAGAATGTTCTGTGATGATGGCTGTGTTTTGTGTCTGCACTGTCCAGTGTGGTAACCCCTAACCACATGTGGTGATTGAGCACTTGAAATGTGGGGAGTGTCTGAGGAAATAAATTCTTAATTGCATTCTATTTCAACCAGTTGAAACAAATTGCCACACATGGTTAGTGGCTGCATATTAGATGGCATCAGCCTGGAGAATGAAATCCAAAGCCTCAGGCATGTCCCAGCGCTATCTGAGCAGCCTTCATTTTTTGCCAAAATTCATTCAAACTGGGGATTCCAGCAATAGCGAATGACTTACAGCTCCCTAAACCTTGTGCCCACTTCACACCTCCTAGCCTTGGCATCTGCTGTTCTCCCTGCCTGGAATGTTCTTCATCTCCTGCCCAGACATGCCTTTAAACTGCCTGCGAGTCGCACAACCCTCCTTCAAGATATCGCTCCCATGTGACTCCTTCCATCAAGCTTTATCAGCCACCGCTGCCTTCCCCACGCAGAAATGAGCACCCCTTCCTTTATGCATCTGGCAAAGACATGCTCTGAGGCCCTTCCACCACGTACACTGCTGGGTTTCCTGATTGTGAGTAGGCAGTCATGTTCACCTCAAGGTCTCCAGTGCCCAGTGCAGGGTTTGGCTCAGATCAAGCAGTCATTAGATGGTGGCTGAGGAAGTAAAATTATTGTAGTAGACATGGGTCAGAGTTCAGGCCATCTTGCATCCAACTTTCTGTCCTGATTTACCCCAGTCCCTTCTGGGGACTACTCTTGAGAGTTGGAAATCAAAGCAAAAGATCGTTTTTTCAATTGAAGTATGGGTGATTTACAATATTGTGTTAGTTTCAGGCGTACAGTGAAGTGATTCAGTTATATATATATATGTATAAATATGTAAAATATTTTTTCAGATTATTTTCCATTATAGATTATTATAAGATATTGAATATTGT